AAACGAATGGCAGACTTTCTGTCTCAGCACTTAGGTAGCCCCTCATCCCCATATGCTGGGAGAGCCGGACGGATCACCCCCCTGGTGCCCTGTTCACTAGACCACCCTCCCTGCTGTAAAGGCCACGAGTCTGACCCCCTGGCTCTCACTGCGTGGTGCCTCGCTCCACAGTTAGTGAGGGAGGGCAGCAGCATAGACCCCAAAAGGCTTTAGGCAGCATGAAACGCAGCACACCAGAGCAACTATGACAAAGGGAGATTGCTAAGAGCATGCCAGTCCTTCGACGCCTCCATGCGCTTTGCTGCAGATGGTCCCAGAGAACGAGGCCAGTTGGGAGCTTTCCAGAGGAGCAATGCAGCCCCCAGCCACAAACCCTGCAGGAGGCTGGCTCAGGACAGAGTCCCAGTTCGACTTGTCTGCGTCCTCAGACGGCCTCATCCCCGAGTAACTGGGAACATGCTGCCGTGTAACTCGCAGGGCAGGTTCTGGTGGCTAATGCAGGGTCAGCCTGTTAGCCCCAAATGCACTCGCACAACAAACGCTCGTGCTCCATCTCGCTCGTACACACTCACGCTCAGTGTCTTTCTGTCTCACTATCCCAAATGCTCACGCGCATCTCATGTGTGCGCACGCTTCTTATCTCTCCAGCACTGTTGTCTCGTTTCTTTCACACACGGGCTGTCTGTCGCTCACACGCGTACTCTCCTGCCCTGCTCGCCAAGGCCACGTCTGGAGTGAAATCACCTAGCAGTTTACACTGTAACGCTGGTTCGATTTCTGCACAGGATGGCAAAGTGCTGGGAGCCCTCGTTAACCTCCAACTCAGCCCTGACCAAATTCCGTTACCTGATGAAGCTTCAGCGTATTTGCTACCAAGGCGCTGCTTCCTGGCGTGAGCCTGGTGGGTTTTCAGCCACGTCTCCTGCCATCGATTTGGAATTCTGACACCCTTGTTTCTCTCTCCCTAAAGAGGGGGGTTGGAGGGTCTGGTTCTTCCTAGCAAGCTCTAGCAGCCTAAATTGGCCTCCAGAATTGCCATGCAAATTAATCTGCCCTGCTCTGTTACAGTGTCTTAATTCATTTTGGATTTAGTTTCCAGAAATTGCTAAATTGTGGTTGCTTTTGGTGACAATGCTGCCTTGTCCCCAACTGCTAAGGACACAAATGTTTGGGGCTATTATCTTTTGTGTACGTTTTTATCAGTGCCGTGCAGGCATGCGCCCACCGCTGCGCACTTCATTATTCAATGTTCACCGGGAGAAAGGAGACGGTGAATGGAAATTGCATGTTAGAGGCCTGTTGGGTTACAATGGGAGATGTGTCCTACCCGCGAATGTTTTTTTCCGAACAGCAGGCAATTTATTGTGTGTTTCTGAAGTCAGACATTTTGCCTGAAAGCTTCTTTTGAAAGTGACTTGGCGCATTTAATCAGCAAAGGGTCCTTATCTCAGCCTTGCAATGCGGCAATGTTGAAGCAAAATGATACGTCGGCTTGGATCGATTTGTATGCAAAGCAATTCAATGACAGGCTGAAACCAGAGCGTTGCAACACGCTCCCCCCAAAATCTCACCTTGCTGGAGGTCTCTGGCCCTGGGGAGGCCAAATGATTTCAGGGCACCGGGTTCTTCTGGCAGCAGATGTTGATCGGCACCCGAAGATGTAACAGATCCTCCTTGTCCACGTGTAGTCAGTCACCCCCGTGTCCATCCCAGGCAGCCGGCTCTGCCCTTGGGCTCCGTTTGGGTCGGACTGGGCAGGGCTGAGGCGGCTGGTGTTATTTAGTCACTCATGTCTATCATGGTAGCACCTGAAGACTCCTGCCCCAAAGAGCTCAGGGTGGCAATCGACCAGCCAGACAAAAGGGTGGTTGGGAGGGGAAACAGCAACGCAGCTAGGGGAAGAATCACAGACAGAGCTGTGAACAGAGCCCAGTGCCCTGCCCCAGACCACACTGTCTGTGTCCCCATCCTCTCTGCCGTTCCATGTCACAGAGCTCCATAGGAAATCCCGCCCCCCCTTCCGCCCCCCGCCATGCCTCCAGGGACTTGCTTTGGGTTTCAGGTTTATGCCACAGGCTCATCCAGAAGCCCAGAGCTCCATAGGGGTCCCTTGAAATCCACTTGCCTCTGGGCTGAGCCTCAAACCGCCAGCCCCCAGACAGGGAACCTGGCCTGCGTGGGAGGAGCGGAGCGGAAGCTGAGGCCGGGCGGATGGAGATCATTAAGGCCAGCACTGGATCCAGCTGTGGGTCAATGGACTCTCCCTGAGCACAGACACCACCCCCAGGTGGCAGAGGGAGCCCGCCCGGGTGGGGACTGGGCTGGGCTCATCTGGAGCGGGTTAGGTAGCCCGAGGGACTGGCCGGAGCCTGAGGTTTGGAGAGACGCTCGGTCTAAGCTGCACTGCACCAGCAGACAGCGCCCCTTCCTCCCAAGCCCCCGTGCAGAGCAGCTCAATGGATAAAAGCAAGGCGCTCCGTCTGTTTAGCACATGCAGAGCGAGAGGTGACTTGCTCAGTGTGTAAGGAGCTTCCCGGGGAGCAAACGCCAGGTACTACAGAGCTCTGGAGTCTAGCCGAGAAAGGCAGACAGGACCACAGGCTGGAAGCTGGAGCCAGACAAATTCGCTAGGAATTAGGCACCATCTTTTAACTGATCGGGTGATTAAGCCCTGGAACAAGGTCCCCAGGGCAGTGGTGGGTTCCCCATCTCCGGGGGTTTGCAGACCCAGACTGGCGCCTTTCTGGACAATGCTTTAGCCAGACGCAAGTTACTGGGTCCAGTGCCGGGGGAAATGGGTAAAATGTAACGGCCTGTGATGTGCAGGAGGCAGCTGATCGCAGTGGTCCCGTCTGGCCTTCAGCTCTGTGTATCTATGCAAATGAGGCATGGGACTGGAGAAAGAGGGTCACCTTGTCACAGGGTGACTGGCCCCATGAAGAGGGAGAGGGGTCCAGTGCCCCTGGGCCTCGTAAAGGCAGATGGACAGGCCCAGGTGCCTCCCGCACTCAGTCACGGGTGCTTTGGAACCAGTTCCCCTGCGTCAGACCTGTTTTGGTGGGACACCGGGGCACAGCCCTGCAAACTGGGAGCCAGGCTGCTACCAGACAGGCACCGGCCTCACCGCAAGCTCAGTGGCGATTTCTCCCGCAAGCTCTGCTGTCAGCCCCAGTCCTCATGGCTCGCCCGACAGGTGCCAGCCCACGGGCTGTGGCAGAGGGAAGCCTGGTTGGATTCATTCCTTTGAACCCCAAATGCTGGGGGGAATGTTCCTCCCCCATCCCATATCCACTCCCACCCCCCGACAACCTGCCCCTCTCTCCCGACCCGTCCCAGACGCTGAGCCGCGAGTGATGCTGATCTGACACGCCAGGGTGAATCGCAAACTCCTACAGAGCCTCAGCCTGTGCCCCGGGGCTGACGAGACTTCAAGTGGGGAATCCTCGGCCCAGCCACCCATTCCCTTTGGGGTCACGATGCCTCCGCAAGGTGGGAAAAGGGGGAGTCTGAGCCCTTGGTTTGGCTGTGGAAGTGGGATGTAGCTGGCTCTGTAAACTCCTCCCAACACCTTCCTTCAGGAGGGAGTGGGGTCTAGTGCGTTAGGGGCGGTGGAATCGGGAGTCAGGACTCCTGGGTTCTCCTTCCAGCTCTGGAAGAGGAGTGGGGTGTGTCATGATAGTTTATCCTAATTGTGAGCTCGACTGCGCAACGTGAGTGAGAGTTTATCACACGATGGGAAAAGCAGCAAACAGGAGGCAAAAAGATTGACATAGTCCTGACGGAAAAGACCTCCTGATCTAATTCTAGGGCTGCGTTAAGGCTTTTGACACAGCCCCGTGGGACATTCTCAGAAGCAAACCAGGGAGATGACTGTAAGGTGGGTGCACAGCTGTCCTCAAAGAGTAGTTCTCAATGGTTCGCTGCCAACTGGCAGGGCATCTCTAGCGGGATCCCACAGGGGTCAGTCCTGGGCCAGAACTACTCCATATGTTCATTAATGACCTGGAGAATGGAGTGGGGAGTCTGATTATAGGATTTGCAGATGATACCCAGCTGGGCAGGAGTAGAATTCAAAGGAACCTTGACAAATTGGAGAATTGGTTTGAAATCAACCCCCTCGCCCTTTCCCTTCTGTCTCGTGAGCGTCTGGCTTAGCCGGCCAACACTGCTGTAAACCTGTGACCAGAGAGAAGCAGCTAAATGCAAGGCCTTAAACAGCCTGGTGCTGGTACGAGTTTCCCAGGGCTTGGAGTGGCTGATCAGACCGGCGCTGGGCCTGGGTTTCTGCCGAAGCGAGACTGCACCAGAGACAGAAGCTGCATTTTTTCTCTTTGCTGTTCTTTTCTCTCCCCTTCCCTGTGTGTTTCGGCTTATTTTGCCATCAAGGAAACAGGATCCGTCTTCTACAGCAGCAGCAAAACCAGCTCCGGCCCAGCTCCGCTAACCTCCTCACTTCCCCCCACAGGACAGTTCGGGCCTGAAAGACTCTCTCCGTCTTTTGTCGTCTTCTTGTCTGTAGCTTTGATTCAAGGATACGGGGGTTTTAATGGTGGGTTCACCCTGGTGCGAAGCGTCTGGGGGCTCTAAATACAAAACTCTGAATCTCGTTGAAAACTGTTCCGTGTTGGACAGTTTCGGGTTCATGTTACACCTTTGACGCTTTCGGCCCCTTTATTCCATCTAAGTTAATACAACAGGTCTAGTGGGTCAAAGCAGGAGAGGGCTGGGAGACAGGACTCCTGGGTTCTCCTCCTGACCCGCTGTCTGTAGACGGGGGCTCACCTACCTCACAGAGATAAAAGGGCTCTCATTAGAAGTTTGCAAAGCGCGTTAGGCCCCTGAGCTGCAGAACAACAAGGGCTCCTTGCTGTAGGTCTCAGAACAGCCTTTGCTTTCCTTCATCCCCTTCCTCCCCAGCCCTGTCTGTCTGTCTGTGCCTTCTCACACTGTTGCAGCATTGTATGTGCTCTGACTCGACCTCTCCCTGTTCCCGCCCCTAGAACCAGGCCGAGGCGCATTACAAAGGCCACAAACACGCCCGGAGACTCAAAGCCATAGAAGCTGTGAAGAACAAACAGAAAACGGCAGCGGTCCCCAGCCGGGACATCGTGGCAGACTTCCCTGCCACCCTGGACGTGAGCGGGGATCCCCACAGCACAGGTATGGCCGTAGCCACCTCCCTGGCCCTGCACACCGGAAACGGGGAAAGGGGCTGTTGGGATTTCCTGCTCTCCGCCGTCAGCTTGTACCGAACAGTTGCTCTTCGGGACTCTGTGCCGTCCCCTGCAGTAATAATTCCCCGGGGATGAACAGCGGCGTGATGCTCTTCACGTAGCTCGACAAGGAGCTGCGCTGCTCTCCAGATACTGATTAACGTCCTGCTGGCACGGGTCAGAAACGACATCTGCTTGGCAACTGCCAGCGCCACGAGCGAGCGGGAGGCCAGCGGGGTTGGGAACAGGCTGCAGGGCTCCTCATTGCTCTGTGACTGGTTTGCCCGGGTCATTAGCTGTTTGGTGACCCGGGTGTGGGGAGTTGTGACAGCCGTCGGCCCCGGTCCACTGGTGTCTGTGTCCCAGCCTGCCCCTTGGGACTGGTCTGTGGGGCCATCTACGCTGCCGCTGGGGAAGTGACTGCGAGCCCGGTAGCCCTATGCCCGCTAGCCGTGACTCTAGTGTGCTAAATGTAGCAGGGTAGCCACCCATGTACCAGCCTGTCCAAGGCTCTGGGTCCATGTTCGGGCAGCCAGCCCACGCTGCCGTGGCTGTGCTGCCGTGTTCAGTGCACTAGCTGGATCTAGCGTGTGTACATCTGTCCATGCCGGAAGTGACACCTCGAGCTGCAGCGTGGACTCACCCTAGGCCCAAACCCTCCCCACTCGCAGCGCTAATTATCAGCCGGCTGGTGGCCTGGCGATATATACCACAATCTCTATTGCAGCAGGTAGAGGTGGGTACTTTATCCTTGCACCCCTCCCACTGCCGGGGCCAACTCCAGTCAGTGTCCCCCACTTGCGGACGTGTCCCACATTTCCCTCAAGGATGTGGAAAAATTGGAGCGAGTCCAGCGGAGGGCAACAAAAATGATTAGGGGCTGGGGCACATGATGTATGAGGAGAGGCTGAGGGAACTGGGATTGTTTAGTCTGCAGAAGAGAAGAGTGAGGGGGGATTTGATAGCTGCTTTCAACTACCTGAAGGCGGGTTCCAAAGAGGATGGAGCTCGGCTGTTCTCAGTGGTGGCAGATGACAGAACAAGGAGTAATGGTCTCAAGTTGCAGTGCGGGAGGTCTAGGTTGGATATTAGGAAACACTATTTCCCTAGGAGGGTGGTGAAGCACTGGAATGGGTTACCTAGGGAGGTGGTGGAATCTCCTTCCTTAGAGGTTTTTAAGGCCAGGCTTGACAAAGCCCTGGCTGGGATGATTTAGTTGGGGATTGGTCCTGCTTTGAGCAGGGGGTTGGACTAGATACCTCCTGAGGTCCCTTCCAACCCTGAGATTCTAGCCAGAAGGTTGAGAAGAAGTGATGCAAATGAGCTGAAGGGGAAAAGGCCCAGCTCAGCCTTTACCAGCAGGGGTCTGTCATGATAACTGACAACTCTATTGTTAATGACCTGGCCTTTCTCAGACATCATACACAGCCTGATTAAGCCCTGGACCAGTGCCAGTGATTTATGGTAGCCTCCTGTCTGGGCAGCCATTGATTGTTAGCAGCTAATCAGGCTAAAGAGGGTCGTGATTAGTAACGCAATAAACTCCAGGTCGTAAATGCCCCCCCTGCAGGGATGGCCAGAGCAAGAGGCGCTTTCGATCGCTTTCCTGTCCTTCAATTGGAGCCGTAGAAACAGCCCTGCTGGGCGCCGTGTGCTGCCTGCACCAGTGTTGTTGTTCACGGTAGCAGCCAGCTCAGGATCAGGCCCCGTTGTGCCGGGTGCAGGACAGACGTGAAGGAAGAGACAGTGCGTGCCCCAGAGTCTGAACGGGGAGAAGGGGTGGAGGCTGGGAACAGGGAAGGGGACGGGAGCACAAGGCCGCGGTTAACGAGAGCTAATCGTCAGGCACTGGTTTGGACCGCGGAGATGTGGGTTCACTTCCTGGCCCCTGTGTGACGCCGGGTGAGTCTCTCTGGGCTGCAGGCCCCGTCTGTAAACGCTGCGGCCTTTGTCGCTGAATCGGTTTAGGCCCCGATTCAACAAAGAATCCCCTCTCAGTGAAGCACTTAAATCCCATTGGCTTCGATGCTGTCCTGAGGCTGGGGCCGGGACTGTAAACTCTTCATGGCAGGGCCTGCCCCACACAGGGGGTCTGAGCTGCACTTAACACAGTGCGGCCGGTCTCAGCTGGGGCCTCCCGGTGCTACTGGCAAACAAATAACAAGAGGGAAGGTTCTAGGAGCACCCGTTTGCCTCTGCAATGAGCTGTTTCCCAGCTAATCACCAGGAGAGAAACCCTGGACCCACTCAGGGCAGGGACCTTCGTTTTGTTCTGTGTCGTGCAGCACCCAGCACAGTGGGGTCCTGCTCCGTGAGCAGAGCTTCCGTGCAGATACGAAGTAAGGATTGAACTTCGTGACGTGCAAATGTTCATTCCCAGGGCCCCTGAGCAGGGACAGAGACCCAGCCAGCCAGGACAGCCGCTTGCTGTGTGCAGTGTTGGAGCTTTGTCTGTCCCAGGATAGCGGCGAGACAAGCTGGGGCGGGGGGAAGAGTTTTTATTGGATCTGTTGGAGGGAGAGACCCAGGGAGTTGCAGAAGAGCTCTATGTAAACGCAAAAGCTTCTCTCTCATCAACAGAAGTTGGTCGAATGAAAGCTCTGACCTCCCTCACCTTGTCTCTTTAATAGTCACTTGGCAGGCAGGCGGCCTTTCTTCATGGCAGCTTTCACCTGCACCCAGGAGAAATTAATGATGATCTCTGGAAGGCACCGATTTCACTCACTTGCAAAGAAGCTGGCGAGGCCCTATTGTACTTTTCTGTTGCAGCACAAAGCAAAGGGAAGGGCCCCCTCCCTCCCTCCCTTCGCCCCCTTTGATCCGATTCCAAGGGTGGCTTTTTGAACCAGAGACAGCCGCTGCTCCTGCTTGAACTCAGCATGCCAGATAACAGCTAAGTTGTCCCACTAGGCTCTTCCTTTCGTGTTGGAGGGAAGAGGCCGATAGAACAAGTGTCTCTCCCTGGAGCCAAGGAGGGATTGGAGCTAATCGCGGCTTTTATGCTGCGGCCGGTTCTGATGAGCCGCAGATAAAAAGCGCTAATGGGAAAGGCCCCTGGGTAAGTCAGGATCCGTGAGGCAGGGCTGGCTACGACAGCGTGGTGGGGCGGGGGCATTTCAAGGCCTCGTCGCTCTTTGGAAGCCAGGAATTCTTTTCAAGAAAGGAGAACTTTCCCTTCTGTCTCTTTTGCTAGTTCAAGCCAACGGCCTCCTGGGGCTGAAGGAGCCGGACGCTGAGTGTAGCAGCCTCGTGCTGACGCCCACCTCGGAGGAGTCCTCGGCCGAGCTGTCCAGCAGCGTCCCAGCCCTGGTCTCCCCGCCTGTTTCGGAGCTGTCAGAGGGCCCTTCGGATGCTGCCAGCGTGGCCTCTTTGCCAGCGCTGGGAGCTGAGACGCCAGCCACTGAATCGGGCAGCAGCGTCGGCTCAGCCCCTGACAGAGGAAAGGAAGGGAAGAAAAGCAAGCAGCACCTCTACTGCCCCACCTGCAAAGTGACGGTGAACTCGGCATCCCAGCTGGAGGCTCATAACACGGGTAAGGGACTCAGCCGCTGGCCATGCCCTGGCCTGGCCTCCCAGGTACCCCGTGCTAGTGAGCAGCACTGGGGAGGGAGGGCCCTGTGGCGTTACTTTCCCATAGCTGGTGGGCAGCAGGGTCGAGAGAATTAAGCGCAGGACTCCTGGGTTCTATTCCGAGCTGTGTGAGGAAGTACAGTCCAG